ATGTATATATACACACATACATGCATGCATGCATGCATGCGTAGTCTCATACATGCTCTTTCTGTATGCGCGCCTTCGCTTGATTGCAGATGTGAGGGCTGAAGGGGCTGCAACAGGCCAACACTTAAGGGCCCCTGCGGTTTGAATGCCGGAAGCCCTGAGGAGACCTGGGAAAAGGTGAAGCTCGACGAGGACCAACCCTGTTGCTTTGCTTTGGCTTTGGCCTGAAACTTCGTCTGACGGTCGTTGCCGGTGCGCATGTGCAACTGCAGGTTCCAGATACTGTTCCGTTCGGACACCACGCATAATTTACTGCATACTCCTTTGCATCTTGTTCAGAGCTTCTATGCAAACTCAGATTCAGGAGCTCTCCTCGTTGAAACGTGCGGCGCGGGTGCACCTGGATCGCTTGCATGGCGATCTCGAGGAAAGTTTCGTGTAAAGCGTTCCAAGTTTAGTGTAGGAATGCTCAGCACTCAGCACCAAGCAGCATCCAGGAGCTTCAGGAGGACTTCCTCTTCGTGCAGGGTGAGCTCCGCGAGCATCGCAAAGAGTACACTGGGCACTTCGGCCGATTTGTGCTTTCAACTTTTTATTTTTTTTTCGAAGCGGTCTGTTGCCAGACACGTGGGCATAGGGACCATGGCAACATGAGTGGCTTAGGCTGCCCGACACTGACGATGAGGCTGGCAACGAAAGCTGGGCAAAAACATAATTAGGAGACTGGGTGGTGAGACAGAGAGCAGCTTGTCGAGTGTTGGAATCCTGGCACTTGTGTTCAGCTCATGGTTTTCTTGCAATGACGGATGATGATGACGATGCCCACCTTAGCTCCTGTCAGGCCGAATGCCATCCTACCCAGCCGTCCAACTGGGGCTTTCTTGAGCGGTTGCTCGCAAGGCAGGGAAGTCGCGGGCATGTCAGAGGACCATGATTCGAATTCTTGGTACGCTGGCGCAAGCCTGAAAGCGGCTAGAGATGTGCGCTAACGTGAATGCTCTCCCGCTGAAACTGCCACCTTTCTACCAGTAACAGCTTAGCAGCATTTCTCAAGAACTTCAAGCACTGCCATCAGTCGCTGCGTTGTCTGAATCCATCGGCTACGGTCCTCGCAGTCCGCAGCTGCTCGTGGGGCGGGGGGCGGGGGCGAGAGCCCAGCTTTCAGAAGAGCTCTGAGCCGATTTTCTGCGCACAGAATTAAATTACGTAGCCTGCGAAAGGAAAAATGCGCTGTGAGCGCAGTTGCTGGCTTGGTTGTCAAAACTGTCCTAAAGCTTCCGAGACGGTTGCTGCAGGAATCTGCAGGATTCCGAATACCGGGGGCCCCGGGGGTCGAGAGCTTTATGGATTTCGAACCGGCTCTTGGGGTGACAAGCTTGGACTCTGCTTCCGGAGCTCTCGGCAGGGGTCTGGACTTGGCGTCGCTGGCAGAGGCCTGGCTCCGTGGCGAGGAGGCGGCAAACTGCAACGCAGTAAGATGCAGTAAGCAGGCCCCGAGGAGGTCCCCGAGGAGGTCGGAGCCCGGTGCCGGTGGCACCTGTAATTATGTTTTGAACTGAGGGTGTCGTTACGTTGACGAAGGCAACACTGTACATACCGATGCAAATGGCCTTTGGCGGCTTGTGCGTTTTCATTGAGTCCGAGAGCTTTTGCTGCGACAGCTAGTATTTTGCGAGGTGGTTGGGCGCCCGTATCATCCAGAGGCTATGCTTCTGTATCCGGGTCAGTATGCGAGGACTTGCAGCAGAGGCAGTCTGACGCCTAGGAAGTCTGAAGCCTGAAGCTGAACCCTAAAGCAACCCAAGCGTTGCCTCGACAGGTCGGGGTGTTCCGGGCCTTCGAGCCATGCTCCAACGAGGTGAGTTGTGCACGCAACCTGAGACGTGACGGGTTGGGTATGGTGGACACGAGGCCAACAGCATGCACCAGCACCCTTGCATGCACTCAAAGGAAGCTGTTGGGCAAGCAGACTGCTTCTGCATGGCTCAGCAGTTGCACATTTTCGGGATGTTCGGGGTCGACCCGGAGGCAGGAGTGGCACCACCGCCCGGCTGGCCTTGAGCTGAGCAGGTTGGTGTAAGGCTCCTGCGCCGATCTTGCCAGTGGTGCGCTGATTCCCCAGCTCTTGCCCAGTCTGTTCCTGACGACCTGTCGATCAATCGGGACTGTGAGACATTGATATGATGTGAGGCATGTAATCACACGCGACTTTGAGAAGTTCAAGCCTGTTTGCGCTCCTTCTTCCAGGCTGTGGCTTTCCCAAGCTTCTGGCCGGTGGCAGAGATGTTGGTCTGAGGCCTGTTATTTTGAAGCTCAGGTCCCCAAAACCTCAGACCAGAACATCCTTGCATCCATGTGCATCCCGTTTCAAAATGTTTCAAACGGGTCCTTTTCTGCCCTCGTGACATCTTGGTTCGAAGGGGAAGTGCCGTCCTGGGAAGGTTCGAGGGCCAATCCTCGTGCTGTACAAAGTCGACCAGCGCAACTGCAGGGCACCTCAGTATCCCAAGCAAAGATAAGCAGCAGGTCTCACACTGTGCCTGTGCTGCCTTCCTCTGAGACGGATACGGGTACCCGTCCTGCAGCCCATTGCACCGGAACCCCGCCCATCCCCGCCCCATGTATCCCGAAACCTGAGGCATCGGGGCCACCTATGCAGCACTCCCGGGCGCGATGGTGTCCAAGCTCCCGGAGCTTCGAGAGGCTGCGAGCTCAAGCTGCCGGGAGCGTACAGGCTTTGCCAAGGGCTGTTCGACCTGGGGCTGCATGTTGACGGTTCAGGCAGTAATAATGTAAAAGGGCCCGAATATGCTGACTCTCACGACTATCACCATTTGCTCAGTGACAGCGGTGACTGAGCAGCACTGGAGGTGCTTTGAATCTTTGTTTCTCTAATACTGCAGACCCTGGGATACTATGTTTCTCAGGGAGCTTGACATTTTGCAGCCAGTGCTCCCGCCTAAGTCCCTGGGCTCCTGATTTGTTGATCGTCCTTCAGATCGTGGTGGGTCCAGCAAAGTGACGCTTGTGTAGCTGTGGAAAGTGCCTCCACACTTCGCTACTTCGGGGGTGCTCCATCTCACCGCCCAAAGGAGGAAGATTCCCACTGGGCGCTGAAGGAGGCCAAACTTGGCGAATCTCCAAGACCTGTTGATACGATTCATGGCTCCAAGGCGTGAAACTCTGGGATGCAGAATCATGCAGAATCCTCCGTGGAGATCTTCTGCCTTGTCACTTTCGGAGGACGGACCTCGTGAGAGCGCCCCGAGCGAGGCGTCGACCACGACGACCGACAACGGCCAGGCAGGGACTTCGCCAGATGTCTCTTCTGGGGTAGCAGGGGGATTGAGGAGGACGAAGTGGTGGTGGCTAGCAGGAGGAGGAGGAGGAACGGGAGGTGAAGGAGGAGCAGGTAGAAACAGGGTTGGCGGTCACATTAGATTACCGTTTTGAGCCTCTGTTCAATTGCCCGCTGGGGTAGATTGAAGTTGAATTCAATGCGTCCGGTGCCTTCGTGTCTGCCCGAAGCTTTCGGCCTTTACGGCCGCGTCGACTTCAGACTCGCGCTCGCCTGCAGCGCACCCATTCGACTAAGCACGCCCAGTCTCGGAGTCCATGCTGAAATCGGAGCCTAACAGCATTCCTGGTTCCAAGCCCACAAGAACAGGGTCCAGATTAAGAAACCTAACAGGGGTAATTTGTTTAGAGATCAGCTCGGGAAGTCCTAGAGCTTACCTGACGCTGACATGTGTTGTCTTGGCAATTTGATGCTCTCATCAGCACGGATTCAGCAGGCTGCATTGAATGTTCATGCTTACCTTCTTTTCGAAGGCTGTGTGATTTGTTAAGAAAAGGCAGCTCGATTGTGCAGCATTCGGACAGTCAGATCGTCTGTAATACGGCCGATCGGCGGCGAAGTCCATCAGTGCAGAACACTATTGTTCTTGTTGACTGCATGTGCAGATTGTGCAGGACATTCCGTTGCAGGGAATACTGAATATGTTGATAGGGCCCCCTCGAACAGCATCCATTTCTTTCTTTAGCGCTGTTGTTGCTCGGAGCGTTCTGTACACAGGGTTGAAGCAGGCCGGGTCACGAACGAGATAGATCTACTCCTTTTTCAGACTTGTTGTTTCCCACTGTTTTATCACTTCTGCTGATGAGAAGCCATCAGTCTGCAAGGCACCATCGCACACGGGCGAGCGCGGGCCTTTACGTGTGTTTCAGATTGTTCACTGCGCACAGGTACCGTTTTCTGCGTCGCTCCCTCCTTGCTCTCCCTCCCCTCTATGTATGTATGTATGTATGTATGTATGTATGTATGTATGTATGTATGTATGTATGTATGTATGTGTGTATGTGTGTATGTGTATGTACTTATGTATATGTATGTGTATGTGTGTGTGTGTGTGTATGTGTATATGTATGTGTAGGTATGTATGTCCATACATTTTTTTTGTTGTTTCTGTTGCTGCTTTTTGGTTGTTGTGCAAGCCCCGGCGAACCAGCAAGTGAGTGAACTGCCAGTGGGGGCCCAAACAGCAAACAAAAACACTCCTCGGCAGCAACAGCAACAAAAACAAACACCACCCCGGCAAACAGCAAAAAAAC